TAAATGGTCAATTGTTGGACACTCTGGGTACTGTGACTCTTCCCATACAGTTGGGGGGCAAACATTGGGAGCAGGCTGTGCATGTAGTGCGAGGGGCAACACAAGCTATTCTGCTGGGGTTTGATTTCATGTTGCAGGCTCGAGCTGTTATGGATGTTGGTCGTGGTCTGCTTCACCTGGGGGATGTTGATATTCCTCTCATGCATGCCACAGATTTCATACCAGAATGTTGTTACATCTCTATGTCTGTTGATGCTATTATTCCCCCTTTCAGTGAAATGATTGTCCCAGTTAATGTGAATATTCCCCGTACTGCTGGTCTGCCCATTGACTCTTTCTTAGGCTACCTGGAGCCTGAGGTGCGTGATAACGTGGGACTTGTGATTGCACGTACAGTTGCACCGGTGAAGAATGGATGCACTGTGGCAAGGCTGCTCAACCCGACAGAGAAGGAGTTAAAGCTGCACACCGGTTCCCATTTAGGTGTGTTGCACCATGTTAAGGACTGTGATCTACTCACCCCCGCTGAGGTTTTCCCCTCTCAGCAGGGGGCTACCCCTCTGCCGGATGTGGCTGGCTTCCCGTTGTCTGCTGAACAGAGACTGCAGCTGCAGGCCTTGATGGGGAAACACCAAGGGGTGTTCGGCTCTGGGAAGGGCAGAATAGGAAACACCGGTCTGATCAAACACCGCATACAGACAGGTGATCATTCCCCGGTCAAGCGTCGGGCCTACCGTACTTCGCCAGAAAAACGGAAGGAGATAGGCAGACAGGTTCAGCGCCTGTTGGAGGATGACATAATTGAAGAGAGTTGTAGCCCGTGGTCCGCCCCAGTGGTCCTCGTCAGGAAAAAGAACAACACATGGCGATTCTGCGTGGATTACAGGGGACTCAACTCTGTGACAATAAAGGATTCTCATCCACTGCCACGGGTGGATGACACATTGGACGCATTGGCGGGGGCCTCCTGGTTCAGCACCTTGGACTTTTCTGACGGTTACTGGCAGGTGGAAATGGCTGAGGAGGACCGCGAAAAGACAGCATTCACCACTGGCCAGGGCCTATACCAGTTCAAATCCATGCCTATGGGTCTAACCAATGCACCCGCTACCTTCCAGAGGGTTATGGAGCTGGTGTTAAGGGGGCTGCCATGGCACATCTGCATGGTGTATCTTGACGATATACTAATTTACAGTAGTTCGTTTGAGGCCCACATGTCTGCTTTGGAGGAGGTCTTCATTCGGATTGGGGCAGCTGGGCTTAGATTGAACGCCAGGAAGTGCCATCTTGCCCGTGATCATGTGGTATTCCTTGGTCACGTCGTCTCCGCCGGGGGGCTTCGTCCTGACCCCCGTAACACAGATAAGGTGAAGACTTGGCCAGTTCCACGGTCCGCTACAGAGGTGCGTGCTTTTCTGGGTCTCTGCTCTTATTATAGGAGGTTTGTGAGGAGTTTTGCCCAGCGTGCTGCCCCCCTCAACCATCTGACAGGAAAGGATGTCCCTTTTCAGTGGACGGCGGATTGCCAGGGGGCATTTGAGTTTTTGCGGGATGGTCTTTGTGCCGAACCTATCATGTGTCACCCGGACTTCACCAAGAGTTTCGTGCTGGGTACAGATGCTTCGCAGATTGCTGTGGGGGCTGTGCTGTCACAACAAGTGGATGGCCTGGAGAGAGTGGTGGCCTACGCTAGTCGCTCCCTCACAGCAGCTGAACGGCGTTGGTCCACCTACGACAGGGAGCTGTGGGCGATAGTGTGGGCAGTGCGTAATTTCAGGCATTACTTGGGTCTTCTCCCCTTCACAATTATCACAGATCATCAACCTTTGTTGGGTCTGCGACGACTTCAGGTTGACAATGACAGGACGGGGCGTCGTAGCCGTTGGGCTCTGGAGCTGGACCCATACGACTGGGTGATTGTGCACAAGAGTGGGGCCAAACACACAAATGCAGATGCCCTTTCACGCACGCCTGACACCACTGAAGCTTTGGAGAACTCAGGCAGTCTCGATGCCACATCCGCTCCCTTGAGTACAATTCTCCCTGGCGCTGGGGACAGTGGTCCTAGTGATGTGTGTGCTGTGGGGACTCCTGCCATGGCCCAAGCCCAGGGACCGATTTCAGGACCTCCTTCTCCTGACTCAGGGTCTTCAGTGGACCAGACCCTAATCTTCACTCTGTCACATGATGGCTCCGGTATTAGGGAGCTCCAGCAAAAGGATGCAGACATCGGACAAGTTTTGGCCTGGCTGGAGCATGGCCAACGGCCCCTTAGATGGAGGTTAAAAGATGCTAGTCGGGGTGTGAAGAGACTTTGGCATGAGTTTCCCCGGCTGACTTTTGTGGAGGGACTTTTATGTAGAGTTGTTTGGCTGTCTGAGGCAGGGCAGTCTACTCAGGTTGTTGTTCCTGCTGTCTTAGTTCCAGAGGTCCTGGGACACTTGCATGGTGCTCCACTGACTGCTCACCTGGCATATGATCGCGTTTTGGCACGCGCAAGAAGTGTGTGCTATTGGCCCTCCATGCACAGTGACATTCGTTCGTGGTGTGACCAATGTTATGCCTGTCAGAGAAGGAAGTCCCCGGTGCCTAAACACCATGCCCCCATGAGAACTTCACATGCAGTTAGACCTTTCCAGCGGGTGGCGGCTGACATACTGGAGTTGCCGGTCACATCAAAAGGCAACCGGTATGTGTTGGTTGTTGAGGACTATTTCACAAAATTTGTAAATCTGTATGCCATCCCCGATCAAAAAGCCCCGACGGTCGCGGAGTGTCTCTTCCAGAACTACATCTTGGAGCATGGGGTAATAGAAACTCTGCACACTGATATGGGCAGACAGTTCGAATCAGATGTTGTGAGGCATTTGTGCGGCGTGTTAGGTGTGAAGAAGACGCACACCACGCCTTACAATCCGAAGTCTGATGGCATGGTAGAGAGGTTTAATAGGACACTTATCGATCAGTTGGCGAAATCTCTTCTATCATGTGAGGGGGAGTGGGACTCTTTTCTGTCACAGGTCGCATTTGCGTACAATACCAGTGTACATTCCAGCACAGGCTTCACGCCGTATTTTCTCACGCATGGCAGGGAGGCCAGGACTCCTGTGGATGTTTTACTGGGTCCAAAGCGGGATGATCTGGTGCAGGGTCCCCGGGAAGACTTCGCTGGTTCCCTTCTCAGACGCTTGGACACGGCGTTTGATCAGACAAGGGATAACAATTTTGCTGCAAGCAGCAAACAGAAGTCGTACTATGACGCCAGAGTGAGGCACGACCCGTATGAAGTCGGGGATTTGGTGTGGTTAAATGATCCCACTGAGAGCCGCCGTAAGCTGGCTCCCCACTGGAAGGGGCCTTATCTGGTGCAGAGGCGAATGGATAGGGGTGATGAAGTGGGGGTCACGTACCAACTAAGTAGCCCGTTTGGGGATGAAGCCTCTCTCCAAACTGTCCATTACGACAGACTACAGCGATACAACCTGCCGGTAGCCTTTCCCTTGGAGGGACCATCAAGGTCTCTCTTACACCTTTCTCAGCCTCTTCCGTTGCAAGATGCAGTCTCCCCACAGAGCTCTGGACGCTTGAGGTTTTCCGATGGGGAAAGTGGCTGTGATCTTGGGCCGGGTTCTGGGGCTGGTGATTCCCCTGAGCTCGAACAAGCCGCACCGACGGTGTCCCGGGCTGGGAGGTTAGCGCGGCCTCCTGTCCGATTTTTGGACTTTGTTATGGGCTGAATGACTGGTGTTTACGTGCTTGTGTGATTATTTTCTCCTGTGTATTCTATGCTGCATAATTGGTTATTTTCATGTTTCGAGTGTGCAGGACAGGGGAATAGGTTATGTCATACCTAGTTTGATGTTTTATTTGGGCTGTGGATGTGTTTTGTTTGTCATTGTTTTTATTCAAAGATTTTTTTTCGAATGTACGTCATGCCTGCATGTATTATTCTGCGGGGAAGTGTGTGGTTTGTTATGTTTTTGGGGTTTTTCGTGGTTGTATTGTTTTTTTTTTATGTTTTGTTGTGTTCTCACCATGTGTGTGGAAATGGGGACATTTCTTTCAGTAAGGGGGGACGCATGTAAGCATTGGGTTGAGAGGTCATGTGTTGTGAGCATGCGCAGTGTGCTAGAGTGGTGTGACTCGACGTTAAATAAACGGAGGCATCTGTGACGCTCCAAAAAGTACTAAGTTCCTGAGTTTTTGTTACACAGAAGTATTCTTGAAGCCTTAACACCTCGGACGTTACACTAGTTATAAATATGTTTATTTTTACTGTCGGGTTTACTTACTGGATCAGCTGCTGCATGAGGAAGCATGAAGATTTAAACTTTAACACACATTGACCGGCGAAAAACTCTGCGCGGTTCCCTCGGCCCCCACCGCGGAGAATAAACAGAAGTGCAGCCATGAGAACCATTCTTCTTCGCTGCTTTTGTGGAGGAAGTTGCTGCTTTTTGTGGAGGAAGTTACAGCGCCACGTACAGGTTCGGCATATGTACTGCAGCTTTTCCAGCGGTTGGATGTAAACGGAGCCGTCTCGTGGAGCTTGACACAATCCGGTGTATATTGCGTGTGGGCGGAAGGTTTTTTGCGGTTGCGTTTGCGTTACTCCGATGCGTTTTGCCGTATGGGTTCCCGTGGTACACACATAATCATTTGACATTTGGACTGTCTAAGTGTATTATAAATGTAATTTATACTCACGAGACCTACTGCACATCTTTCCATCCTGGGAGAGGGAACGCTATTTGTTGCTCTTCCCGAGGCTTCTTCAGTTTTTTCCCCATTAATCATATTTTTTGGGGGAGTTTTTCCTTGTTCCATGCAAGGGTCTAAGGACCTAAGGGTCATATTCTGTAAAAACTGTAAACCCCCCTGAGACACGTTTGTAATTTGTGATATTGGGCTTGATAAATAATATTTGATTGATTAGTTGTAAAATTGCATGAATGGATTGGTTGTTTCATTATCTAACATAAAAAACTACAAGACAAAAGTTAGGCTCTTTTTCAATTGCAATTTATTTGTTGCTCATCTCTGTACCAACAAGAGAGATGAGACTCAATAACAGAGTACAAAAACAAATATCTATAGAAAATTATGCGTATATTGAAATATGTCCAAATAACAAATCAAGTAGCTCACACGTCATAAGAGCTATCCTGTTGAGTACGATGATAAAATACCAAGTTAACATATTGTACATTTTCTGTGTGTTTTTATACAAAAGTGTCAATGCAAGTCACTCTGTACAATTCCTAACCTTTAGAAAAGAGGACCTTTTTTAATCCACTGCTGTGCACAATCAGTATTTGGAAGGCACTTTGCAACAGACCAAAAGCAGAAAAGCAAAAACATTTAGGCCTAAATACTCAATGAAAACACCTTTTACACTCGAGTACCAACATGAGTGAAACAAAAAAAAAAAATCATACAATCCCAGTAGAGAACACAAACAAAGGAACATTATTTCCTTACAGCATCTTCCACTTCTTTTCAAATAATCAATAATAAAAACAACCCTTATCACCTTTTAAAGGAGTAAATACTAGTGCAGAGTGGATAAAAAAAGGAGAAAAAACACTAGGTCAGAGACTTGAATCGTGCGACTGGCAGTGTGAGCGCTACCAGAGCCCAGTGACAGAGCGGTGAGCAGGGAAACCATCGCTGCCACCAACCAGTGATCGACATTCAGTCCGAAGCTCGGCTCGCATGCCAGAACATGCAGTTTACACTTTCAATCAAATGGCCATAACTTAACATCCCTCCACATGATGGACAAGAAAAACAAAATCTATATATGTACAGGACCACCATGACAAACACTGCTCATATTGGTTGGTTCATATATATTTATATATATATTTATAGAATGTGTATATGAATGGTATATACACTTGTTACAATCACAAAAAAAACATAAATAATATAGGAATGTACTGGATTTTAAGAGGCTAAATTATGCACAAATAATAATTAAACAAAGCAGGAAACACAGAATATAACACAGAAAAAGACACGCATGTATACACTCTTTTCTAACCACACACAGACACTGCTAGCTACTGCACTGTTGGATTGGGTTTTGCGTCGTAATGCAGATTTTTCAACATAAGAAAAAAACAACAGACTTTTGGGATACATGTTAATCACCTGATGTGTTATTTCTGTGAGAGGTCAATAAGATAAAAGATGATTGCATTGTATTCCTCAATCTTATCCTTTTCGTTTGGATCTCTTCTAACAAAAGACGCCGATTAGATTTTCGGACCGTGATGGCTTATTTTGTGTTTCAGTATATACAGAGGAAGTATGAGTCTGAAAAGGGTCTGCAATTTCGATTCTGATTGTTTAACCAAAACTATATTCATATTAACTAACAGGGAATTGATCGCCAGACCTGGTTTCTTCTTATCAGTAACCTCCAATCGGACTTCTTAAGATGCAAAACTAATTCAGCGGCCTAAAAACATCCTCTTTACAGTGGGGTCAAATTTCAAATTACACAAAGCAAACCAGAAACAGGGGACGTTTCAATTTGAGGAACCATCCAATTTAGTCTGTCCTCATTACAGGAATGTCTTTGTCCAACATTTTTGAATGAAACACAATTTGACAACAAAAAATGGATAGCTTGGATGTAGCCATTAGCGCAAACCCAAGACTCGTCATCTTCTAACAGCACAAGTGTATCTGACAGGATGTGAGTGAGCAATACAAGTAGTGCAGGCGATGAAAAGGAAGGAGCACAAAGAAAGTGAGCTTAATAACATGACTCTATAAAACTAGCATTTTGTTTGGTCGGTCCAGAGGCTGGTGGATCAGGCTCCTCCTAACCCTACCAGCTGTTGCACAACACACATCACCACACATTTCTATTTAACATAATTTAGAGTGAAAAATTATCAAAACAAGCAAATCACAAGATTTTAGTTTGACAATAAAAAAACAACTGTACACGAAACCAGGGCATGAATAAGTTAATAAAATATAATCTACATTTCTCAAAATATATACTGAAAATATATACCTGACCTTGGTCCCTGTTGAATGTACACAGCTGATCAATGACTAATCACCACAGCGTTAAAACATTGTTAGTGTAGGGGGGATACAAAGCTCATCCCTAACAAGCGCAAGGCATGTTTCCAGACACATTTTGCAGGTTTAAATCAATTTTATCCTTGGAAAATTCATTTCATTATCTTTTGTCTCCAGCTTTTTTTAAATAAATAATGTTCAAATGTTCAAATCAGAAACGTACCAAGAGCTTTTGATATCAAGCTGCTAGCAGATTTTATTCATTTAGATTAGAGATATCTTCAGATCAGCTATGGCATCAGGGTATATACTGTGCTCTGTGGTTAAGACTTATAATCGCTCAGGTTAATAGTGAATAGAAACACCAAAGGCTTCAAATAATGAAAAAAGATGCTTCTACCAGCTTTTTTAAAGACTTGGATATAGAAATAAAAACTAAAAGAAAGAAATATGAGGTGCTATTAGAGCTTTAAAATCAGTTAGTTCCCCTTGCATTTCGTAGGCATTTCAATTTTCTGTCAGTACAAGGGGTTGGTTTGCTCTTGCTTTTTATTAAAATCTCATGATGTTAGCTCGATAATTAACTCGTTTCTCATTTTCTTCAATGAGGAAGCTTTATTATACTTTTTTGGTTTAACAATAAATTATAAGCTTCGTGTGGGTGCTGCAAGAGTTCAAATAGGACGTGATTAAAAAGTGCTTCTTAGGACGGACACGTTCCTGCTTTTTAACCAGGCATTCTAGAGGGTACGTCGCATTCATTTCTGACGACCGGCGCAACCAACAATGCAAACAGACAAAGAAAACGTGAAGGAGTTATCATGATCATGTGCATTTCTAGTAAAAGTACATTTATCTCCGGCTCTTAACTGTAATCCTTTCAATAGTAATTCATTTAAGTGTGGCAAGCAAACGGAAACTTTCGGGAATGAAGCTGAAGAGAGTTGGTTAGAATAAAAGTGTCATAAAAAATGCCGTGGGCCTGTTATGATTTTTGTTGGGAAAAGTTAATAGATTAAAGTAAATATGCCACCAAAATTGAGGACCAATTAAATCCCTGTCCTTAATAAAATCACAATCCTCCTTAAAAGAAGTAGAGAACAACATAGATACATAACTCAGCCCTCTGGTTGATCTGAGGTAAATACATCTGTTTACAGCCTTCAAGAGAAAGAGGAATATTATGAAACATAAAAATCACTGTAAGGGCCAAAGGTCAATTTACCGAGTACATCAGAGCAGTTAAAGTGGGCGTACAGACAATTACTTGTTTTAAGCTTGCAGTAAATAAAACATCTCATGTCAAGTAAATGTTGTGCAGCTAAGAAAGCTCAATAACACACCAGCGAAGAAACAAATATAAGAATACCAAACATGACTTCAACAGATCCACATCAGATAAAGGAAATAAAACCTTCATGTCATTTCTTTTAAAAGAACGTTTTAAACACCGTGCACACACTTTTCATACTTGGAAAAAGTAGAAAAAGTAGGAATCGTATGGCAGTCTGTGACAAAAATATAAGATACACATTAAGCGACGTAACAAACTGAAAGAGTTACCTTGAGGCAAAGTTATTCCCAAATACAGAGCATCTTCTTTGTCCTAAAATGAACGTTAGCAAATAAGTCACTTCGTTCCAAAGTCAATTCCACTCTGACCCGCCTCAGCATCCACCAGAGAAGAGGCAAAAGCAGACTGGACTATCTGAAAGCCAAAAGACTCGAGCAGAGACATGTTCTGTTGGGGGGAGAAGGGAGAGGTCAGGGAGGGGCCCAGCTCATTTAAGGCTGGCCCTGAGGTCCCCTGGGCCTTCTGGGCTTTGTGAACTCTGTGCTGGTGCTTGTTGAGGTAGGACTTGGTGCGGAAAGCCTGACCGCAAATGCTGCAGATAAACTTCTTCTCAGGGTCCGTCTTGGCTTTAGATCCCTCGGGGGAGCTGAGGGCCCCGGTAGAGGCCCCATTACAGGCCAAAGAGGGCATCTCCAGCTCCGGCTCGTCAGGTTTCTGAGGAGATTTAAGCTCGTCACCGTTAGACAATTCCCCAAATGAAGGATCGGATTCTTCTGATTCCAGATGAGGACACTTCCCAGTGTTTTCCTGCCCGTCTGTGGCAAACAGAGCATGGATAGCAAAGGAGAGAGTGAGACAGAGAGAGAAAAAGGGAAATGGGAGTAAAGGAAGGAATGGATTACGACAAATGAATTATATAACAGGTTTGTCACATACAACTTTAATCCAGTAGTTTGTTGGCACCTGAAATATTTAAAACATTTTACTGGAGAAGTTTAGTGAGAAGGCACCTGGTACAAGCAGGGCAGTTTACATCAATTAGTTGACCAATCAGTTGTAAAACAAAAATGTGGCCACAGCTTTAAACTATACAATCATCCATCTCAGTCCATTTGCACAGTGTCCACAGACTGCCGAGATCAGCCAGCCAGTGGGCCGCGCTAGCACCAAGCCCCCACCCTCCTGCTGGACTATACTGACCTGCAGCAGGCCCATGGACGGGGAAGCCAGGCACCCCGCCAGAGCGACAATCCCAGAAATACGGAGCCCCACCTGCCTTCCCCATGAGCTCAGGCTGCAGAGGGCCAGGCTGGGGGAGCAGGAGCACTGGGGGTCCAGAGAGCCCATGAAAGCGACCCTCTGCCTCAGTGGAGGTGAGAAGCAGCTGGCGACTGGCGCACAGGTCTACAGAACACCCGGCCAGGGAGAAAGGAAGGGGGGGGGGGGGGGGGGGACATCAGAGGCCGGCGGAAACCATACGGACAGAATTACCTTATTTTCATTGATAGTACTTGAAAATAATTCAAGTACTATTGAAATGCTGTTGGTGAACTAACCTAGACAGGTTTTCTCCTTTCCCTTCTAGCAAATGCCACATTCCTGATTCAAGTAGCTTGCGGTGTAATTAATTACTGAAACAGCTATTAGATATTTGCAAAAATCTATAGGAAGAAAATCCATCATATAACTAAATATCTTCTTTTATAAAGATATATAAATTGTGTGTTAGATTGTAAGAGCAAGGTTATGGAAGACTAAAGCCAAAAAAGCTATTTGAGATAATCGCCTTTTTGTTTTTAGAAAGTTAAGTATTTCTATATTACTTCCTGTGGACATTTATTTCGTGATACATCAATTTATTTTAAACAAGTGCACAGCGGACAGAGTGCGCATACAGAGACGGTACAGACAATAACAAATAATTTAAGCTATTAGCCACTTTTTAAGTTTAGAAACTCATGTGTCTTGTTTATTATTATTATTATTATTATCAACTTGGTGTATTTTATGAGATGCAAAAATGTAATACCAAGCATACAGCAACTAAGTTATTGCCATTACATATGGGTATATGAACTGCTACTTTGCAAGCTGGCTCACAACGAGATGTACTTTTATTAGTTATTGGTGTCTCTTGTTTCTACTCAAATATTCACAGTCTTTTTCAATTTCAGTAATTAGCTTTGCTGGAACATGAGCAGCACTTTGGTAACTGCTGAGATAATATATATATATATATGTGACGTGCCATTTGACAATCAGTTAAACTGTCGCATTGCTGATGGAACAATAATTTATATCACTGCAAAGAGCGGTGTGCTCATTTAGTGATACTTATACCAGTGAAGGATTGGGGGGAATAAGCAGAGAATGACTCCAATATCAAAGGTCCTCTAACCCCCAACAAGCAGATACTTGCATAATGGCATAATCTGAGCAAGCAGATAACACCAAAATGTTGCCCAGAGGACCGGGGGCCATTGCTTAGTGACATGACATATCAAAACCCTGCTGGCAAACAATATTGATTTTAACATTCCTGAATTCAAAGGAAATTGAATTCCTAAAAGTTAATTTATTTTCACCTGCAAGGCCAGAAGGTTCATTATTTGTATTCAAGTATTTGTTGTGTAAGAGAAAAACTACAGAGAAACATTTAACATCAAAAGCTATAGCTAAAGGTGATTTCTCAACTTAATCCCAAATATGGTAGTTATAAATCCTTATTGATTAAATGATATTACCACTACATAGAAAAAGGCATGTAGATTTTTTTAAATACATAAAAAAGGAAAATGAATAAATATTTATATTTGTTAATATTTTGTTAATTGAGGATGGAAAAAGTGATTAATTTCAGTTGTTTTGATAGTCAATGTCAGTTTGGGAATTAGCCAAACAGTATATGTTTTAATCGCTGTACACATGAGGTTTTCTGATTATTATTATGATAACAGGATTTTAGATACCAGAGCAATTCTACAGATTTAAATATTGTCTTCCATGAAATCAATTGTGGCTCACTGTATTTATGGTACTGATTTGACAAAGATGATGAATTCAGGGCAAACGGAGCACACTATGACACTCATGCAGCACTATGCATTGCTGAACAACTGCTGATGGACCAGCCAAACAGAAACAGACACCATATGACGCCATGGCCATGCTAGACAGACACACACCAAATAAAGTGACTTTTTACTGTTCCTACATGCAGAACTGTCAACTTTGAAGTCTCCAGACAACGTCTATGTGTTCAAATACTGTGCGTGAAGATAGGCACTTAGAATTTGTCTGCATTACATTTTAATTTCCCGTTCAATAAGTCCAAATGTTTTAGCTTTTTGACAAAAGCGTGTGGAACAACAGACGGATTAACTGCCTTATGATATATAACTAAATCTGCAGATTACGAGAATAATTTGAAAAATGCCCTCATAGAGGTGAGGAATACTTCAACTTCTATATAATTACCAAAGGTAGGTTCTGTATATACAGCCACCACCTGAAAGATATTGACAGCTAGCAGAAAGACAACAAGCACATGAAATTGCACCAATAGTTTGAGTGCAAAGCTTGGCAGCAGAGGTTGTGATATGCTTGTGCTTTGAACATATACCAAAGATGCAGCAGCATGTTTCTCCAAATAGCAGCAGAGCAAATGAAAGCCAGAAACATGAAGTTTTGGGATGGGGCGGGCGGCTGCTTGCCTTCCACCGAGCACTGGCGTCCCATGTGGTAAGGGGTGCCGTTGTGCATCTGCAGCTCCCCCCGTGGTTCAGGGAAGATGTGCATTGTGGCGGAGGGGGGCAGTGGAGAGCCATGGTGTGTCTTTATATGCACCTTAAGGTAGGACGCAGTGGAGAAACCTGGGACCAGAAGAACAAAGAACAAGGCAGTGGTTTGACAAACTCAAGGCCTTGACTATGTCGAAGGGAACCCTGGCTATTTGTTATTAATGATCTGACAGATACCTTGATTGGTTTGACCAGAATAAGTCTTGAACACTAGAGATTACTGTAGGGGGTGTTATTTCTCAACATTGAAGAGCATTACTTTTCTAATAGACAAGACAGCATCAATCTAAATTCCAGTTTCAAGCAAACAAAGGGAAATGCACATTAAAGACATGTTCTTTAAGAACCAATCATAGTACTTTTTGAGGCATGTGCAGGTCCACAAGATGTCAACAACGGTATTGGACTCTGTATGTACAAGGTAAAAGCCATCTTTCTGAATGATTTGTCACATTTAGCATGTGCATTTCAACTTTCCCACAGACCAAACAACTTATTATAAATATGTTGTACACCTCAATGCAACCTATCCCTTAAAGACACAACAATAGATTTGAGGGCCACCATCAAATCAGGTAGCACAGGACACTGAAATGGGACAACACAGACCCAGGACAAGGCTTTAGTAAGTCTCAGGGGCTTCCTCCTGTGTTCGGCAGAAAATAAACAGAATTGAGGTGCCAACACCGAGGACACCTTTGTTATTTGTCTAAGGAGACATAGCAAAGCCAGTTAAATACCAAAACTGGATGTTACAAGTTTTTATCCTCTGAATGTCCAACGGCTTCTAACAGTGTAATGTATGTTGAAGTATTTTAAATGACTACCTTTGTTGCAAATGCCACAGTAGTTATGCGTCCCTTCGCTGTGTTTTTTGAGGTGGTCTGTCATGTAGGCAGCACGCAGAAACTTGCCGCAAACCTTGCAGGGGATTTTGTCCTCATGGCATGCAAGGTGTGACCGGAGGCGATCTCTTGTAGCAAAAGAGGCATTACAAATCTGTAATATAGAAATTGGTAAGACATTAACACCTTTCTCAAATATCATCTTTTAAAAAGCATCACTAGCTTTGACATTAATTGACATATAGATCCTGATTGTTACCTGGCACTTGTGGGGTCTCTCTGTTGTGTGAACCTGTTTGATATGTCCATTCAGGTGGTCTGGTCTGGAAAGAAAAGAACAAAAGTTATGTCTGTGTTGTCAAGATATGAACCATTTCTAAGACATTTCTACACAGCTCAAAGTGCTGTGTCTTATCATAAGCATCCCACCTTTTAAACTGTAGGAAATAAGTCTTAATTACTCAACATTAGCAAGCATGTATTCATGTACTACTTTTGTGCAAGTTTATAATCTTGTGAAAACTCCCATCTATTACCAATTGTAAGTAATTCATGTCGGCTTTGTGAGCATATAATTATGTCCACATTGTCATAAATGTATATTTCGAAACTGTCCCTCATCAATTTCTTTGACTTTTTGCTACATCATTACAACCATTTGAGAATTATTTAGCCCATTAGCTGCATGCAATTTAACCTCCTAATCAGTAGGTGGTGACAGTGAGTTTAAAGCAGGGCCTGAGAGCTGGGAAACTGGTTTGTGTGGTGGAAGACTAATGACTCAGATGACAGGTCACTAACGGATGTGCAGCTTTCTAGCAACACTAACCAACATGTGTATGTATGACAACACTTAAGAGTGTCAGGGTTTGCAGTTAGTGGTCTTAAACTAGCTAATAATACAGCCTTTCACTCACACCCTTTCAGAGACTGAACCCCAACCTCTTTGTTTCCTGGCATCAACACACAATGACTTCTTATTGCTTAACTCATTTTGCTGTGTTTGGACCCAAGATTTGGATCTATTCTGCTGATGATAAAGTAGCAGAATTGTTGTTTCTGTGTATACCTGAAAAGCAGATTAACCGCTTTCTGAACAGCAAGGCTGTGAGCTTTCATCAGTTTCTGCTTTGTTGCAAATATGTGGTTTTACAGTTTTGTGATTGTGAGTACTCACTTTATACCTGCTAGTACTGTCCTTTAGGTATTATATGCAGATACACAGAGCTGCATAGTAACAAACAATGTCCAGGTAGGGGGATTTAATAATTGTGACAGCAACACTGTTAAGTACAGGAAATGCTGTCAATGTGAATAAAGTTAAACTCACCTTGAAAAACCTTTACCACAGCTTTGGCACACATAAGGTTTGCCGACCGAGCCGTCATGGGAGCGAACATGGTATGACATCCTGTCCTTACGTTTGAACCGGAGTCCGCACACATGGCATGCGTACGGCTTCTCCCCGGAATGGGAGAGCTTGTGTCGGTTCAGGTGGTAAACGTCGCGGAAAACTTTACCGCAAATGTCACAGCCAACATGCCGCCTGGTCCTCTCCCGTTTTCGACCGTTGTCCAGCCCTCCGTGTAACTGCACGCCGTTTTCCTCCAGAGCAGACGGAGACATTAAAGAAATGCCGCCCGCTGTTGACAGGCTGTCACTGATGTTGTTTACACCGAGGTGTGCTCCGTGTTGCGCTTCGTGGTTCTTTAACCGGGAAGCCTCTGTAAACGCTTTACCGCATGTCCCACATGGAAACAGCCCATTGTCTTTCGGAGTGCTGTGATTAAAGTGTACAGCCTCCATAACCCCGCTAGCTTTCTTTGCTCGCCCCCGGTTTCTTTTCGACCCTGGGGATGCAGCGTCGTGCTGAAACGTGTTCCCCGGTATTTCCGTTGATGGGGAAACGGACAGTCCTTCGACAGGCTCCAACAGTGGCATCGAAGGATCGCCACCGTCCTCCAATAACACAATACCGGGGTCTTCACTCCCGTCCACATGCATCTGTGCATTGTTAGCAAAGCTTTGACCGTTCACCAGCAGCCCCGTGCCGTTCACCAGATCCTGCTGCGCCACCGGGAAACCCAGCTCCGCGGCCGCTGTGGCCTGGAAGAGGCTGGCGTCTCCTCCCCGCGACGTGGGGACCATGATCTGGACGTTTGATTGTTTGATTACCTCCTGACATATCTCAATAACGGACCGCATCAGCAGGAACTTGGCAGCTGTCATCAACTCCGGGAAGCACTCGAGTCGCACCACGATCCTGGAGGTGTAGGCGAAGTCCAAAACGTCTTTAAAAACTTTGGGGCTGATTGTGTGCATCTCCAGCTCTCTGGCGTCGCCTTCGCCCTCCGTCTGGCGACTGAACACCGACTCGAAATACTCGCTGCACGCCGCTAACACAGCTTTGTGTGCCGGGAAGCTCTCCTCGCCGACGCGTAGGATCACATCGCAGAACCTGCCTCCATCTTTCCTCTGAACGTTGAGGTTGTGTAGCATCTCCGCACTGTGCTTGCTCACCTGATAGGTGTACGAAGAAGTCCAAGACGGCTCCGCTACCTTCTCCATGCCGAATTCATCCAATAACAATGGTTGTTAGCGTCAACGGTCGGAGAAACAGCAGATTCGTGTGTAATGTCTCGAGCAGTTAGCTACAAAATACAAAACCAACCGCCCCTCCCCGTCGTTTTAGCATCTAACGTTAAACGTTAGCAGTAGCAGCGGGGAAAAATGGCAGCCCCCCAGCTTCCTGTGAACTTTGACCCTGGTTTCTTGAGGGGTGGGGGTCGCTCTTGTTCGGTGGAAAATATTTCTCTAGGGTTTGATATTGAATGTTTTTTGTTTTATTTCTCTCGTTGTAATGACTGTCAGAGTAGCGCCCCAGCAAAGCAGGGGTCTCTCGCGTCTTCTTTACAAAACGTTAACACGCAGGTCTCTTCCTGTCTGCTCTGTTTATAAAACCCCTCCCCCAACCAAACAGTAATAGCAAGAGAAAAAAACCCTTCCTCTGTACGAGTGCATTCTGCAAGCATAATTGTATTGTACAAGTCACGAGAGTTATGTTGTGGTTTGACAAGAAAATCAATGCAAACGCTCGATCCAGCATTATTGTAAACATCATTACAATAATGCTTCAATAAGTTGAGTTGATTTTGGGCTTTTTGAACAGGGTTCAGATCCTCTTGTTAGTGTATATATACATGTGTATACACATATATACATATATATATATACATATACATATACATATATACATATACATATATACACATATACACATATATACATATATACATATATATATACATATATACATATATACATATATATATACATATACATATATATACATATACATATATACATATGTGTATATATATATATATATAAAACAAGATATTGAGATTACACTTATTTTGTCCATTCCCATCTAAGGAGGGGGTGGGCAGAATATTATAAACTTAACCCGAGGTGTGACACAGGCTAGAAAATAAGTAAATCAACACCTGTCAGTATCAACACATTCTGAACACAACTACCTTCACTGAGATATGCCTTATTGCAGCCCATTGTATTGAACTAGATTAAGGCTGCAACAACTAATTGTTTTCATTAACCATATTTAAAATATATATAATCTAGCCTATAGTAAAAAAATATATAGGTATTACCACCACAGGTGCACAGAGGCAAACATGACATTTCAAATATGCTGTTTTGTTTGACCAAAAGTCCCAATACCGCAAAAAAGAAGAAAAAAAGAGAGACTGAAATACACAAAAGTTGCCTATTATGTTTTTTGTCCATTTATCAACTTACTGTTTCGGCTCAAGACTAGCCTGATCAAACAGGCTTTTGAAGGAGATGCCAATCGAAAACAGACTATACCAACAGCATCATTAAGACCCCTTAAATGTGAATAAAAGCGATCACGAATATGTACATTTTTTAAGTAGACAATATTTCCCAAATCATATCTTTGACATTACTGCACGGGCATGCCCTTTTGACCCAAATTTGTTCCGATGCTGTAGAACCTTAAACAAGCCAATACTGGCTTCCAAATACATTTTTCGCACTCTACATAAAACATTTCCAAACAACCAAGTAACTTACTTTGTTAAATGTCTTGAGCAGCTCAACGATAAGTGCAGAGTACCTTTACATTCAAGCAATAAGTGGTTCATTTTGATATTAGAAAGCGAGCAAGACTACTTTTTTGCATTTCTCCTGTGCATTTGACCAGTCTATTTTCTACTGTCGAGCACGTCTAGTTTGTACATAGTTTAGATTAACACAAAGTGGCCACTTTGTTATTAATGCAGTGGTAGTCTGATTTTGTACTAAAATAAATGTTTACTAAACATGTTGTAACGAGCACAAGGGAAAATCCCAATATATGCGAGAGCTGTTATATTGGATTGTACACGATGCCTAACAAAGTGGCCACTGAGGGTACATATATGGGCAATTCAAAATAATTTAAAAGAAAAAAGCAAATTGTGTTTACTGAATTTATTTATTAATTCTATTTGTGCTTTTTATAACTTAATAGCACAAACAAACTGAATCCCAACCACCCTCAAAAAATTGACAATGTGAGCAATGCTGCTCCCCTCAGTGACAGGATGGATGGGAGAGGATACAGTTTAAAAGGAAGAAAAAACCCACAAAGAAAGGCACAACCAGCGCTCGCTGCATCCCGCGGAGTTGTCTTGAAACGCTCCAGCCAGTCACATCTACAGAAAAGGGCCACTAGCCATGCCACAAAAGGGGAAGAGTATACACTGGAGTTACTCATCAATCCAACATTTTTCACTAGCAGTAGCCCTTCCTCAGTGCAGTTCAGCAGGGAAGTTCAAGTTGGACAAGACAAAGGAATGCTACCAACTCTTGGGGACTCTATCCTGCAGTTCAACTGGAAGCTGTGAGTGACAGTTTCACCTTCCCCATTTCAAGAAAAAAAAAAAAAAAAAATCTATATACAGGGAGAATAAGGTTCTTTCCCATGGTCTGTACAATTGGGCCTATACATTATTTACTGCGCAAAGCCTAATACAAAAGAAAAATGTTCACTCAGTCGGCAAAGCAAATGGCCATCACTCGTCTTCCCTTTCCTGCTGATAAGCTTCTTCAAAAAGCAGTGACTTCAAGGTTGAAGACAAAGCATGGCATGGTTAGACTGTCTAGGTCTGTGCACCGTCATTCAAATTAAAGTTCACATTTCTACGGTAACAAGGAGGTGGAGATGGGCAAAAAGAAAAAAAAGATCTTGCTATCCAGCAGTGTTTATTTTCTTATGGCCGGAACTCCAATTCATCTACGCTTATGACCTTGGCCGGCATGGAAGGGAGTGGCTGTTCCAGCATGTCTGACCCAAACCACTGGGCGAGGCCTGGAGGGGGAGGGCCTCCGTGCTGCTGGGGGCCATTTGTCCGGTGAGGGCCATGGCTCTGTGTCTGAGAACCTTGATGCACTGCAGGATGAGACAAAAACATAGATTAGCAAGTTAAGAAAAAAAAATGTGTCGTCTCATCCAACTTGCCCATTTCTGCCGTTTTCTAGCCTATATATATATATATATTTGTCCTGGAACATTCTTTACTTTTTCCCAGACCTTTTATTTTAGGTTACTGCTGTGGCAGTATTCAGTGACTTAAAGGGGGGAGGTAAGGCTGCCACAAAAAACATGCCCACACTCAGTTGTAACAATTGACTTCCACTCACTTGGTCTCTGTTGCTGAAGCTGCATTGCTGCTAACTGCATCTGAGTATTGGTTCTGGGAGGTAGAAGGGGATGCCCTGTTGCACTTAGAGGGTACAGCTGTTGTCCAAGCAGGGCAGGAGGCAAGCCTTGGAGTTGGGCAAGGTCAATGTGTTGTGGGAATATACCTGGTGTGAACAAAAAGAGTCTTAACATCATTTTATTTACAATTAAGAATAAAGTACAGGGAAAAATACAAACCAACAATTACCTGCTTGAACAAGAGCAGGTCCAAGCTGCTGGGGCTGGATACCTTGTGCCAGCATCCTTTGAACCACATTTGGGTGGAGCTGGGGAGGAGGGCGCGCCATCGGTACATGGGGGAGCAGCGGTACCGAATAAATAGGACGAGGGAAAGATGAGGGTCCTGGTGGAGCCATGCTGTGAGGATGGTGTCCAGCGGAGCCAGGCCCGAGACGATCCTGGTCCTTGCTTGGCATGTTATGCGAGCCCACCTTTGAATCCCCAGAATGGGAATTGTTCCTGTCCATCGCTTCCAGGTATAGATTTGGGGAGATGCAGTCTGTAATCATAGAACCAATTATCAGCGTTAGTGTTGTAGAACTTTGACGCATATTCAAATTAGGAAATGGTTTATTCGTACCTTCTTGAGAGTGTCCTGTCTGGTCCTCCTTGTTATCCGAACGACACGATTGTTCATCTCTGTTTTTCTCTTTTGTAGCGTACATTTTGCGGATCACAGATGTTGGTGTAAATGATGGGGACAGCTGTAGTAAGAAAAACAAAAATAAGTGAACAAAAACAATAATACTTGCAATGCCAAGAAGTGTAAAGGTTACAAAAAAACGGTTTGAAAAGTCCAACTTCCCAGGATAGCTGGACAGATAAAGTGTGTGCTCACCATGCTGGTGACAGGGTTGCCTGGAGAGTTTCTTCCAGCAGGCTGAGGGCCTGGACCAGGGGAGCGAGTGACATGCTGCAGTCTGTGAAGGACAAGCACATCAGCAATATGAAGCAATAACATGAAATACACCAAGCTGTATTTGCCATCATAACAGTTGCTGAAATTAACAAGCAAGACACACGGCTCAATATGAATGAGTTCTTTATAGAGTATCAATATCACTGATTAGCTAAGGAGGCATTGTAAAGCTGAAGTCTGCTATTCCGGAGAAAGATTGTTCAAGTAAAACCCCTGTACTCGTCTCCAGTCAGTGTTCCTTCAGGACATTAGCATGTGCCAGTTATTCATCCTCAGCCACACTGCCTCATCTGAAGGCCTTTTCCTCGCTGGAAAGGTGTTGTGTGGCTCAGGGCTTCACCAACTTGTTGAAGCTTCATTTATGTTATTAATGAATGAGTGCAATAGTCCACCTTGTCCTTCATCGACTCCGCGAGCACTGCAACACTTATGAAACTGCCACACTATTAAAAATAAGTTTGTTTAAAATGAAAATCTAGCCTCAATCTATATTGGCTGCCATTTTGCCTTTAAAGAAGCAAAAAAACATTTCCACTGTTGAAGAAACTAAAATCTCCTTGACGGAAACAAAGAAACTGTATATTCAGACCTTCATAATTTCACTTTAAATACATAGAATGCAAAATATATATATATATTTTTTAAACCTACCTATTGCGAAATAATTTATCCTGTTGTTGCTTGTAGCCAGGATGGAAGGAGTGGTGGCCATGTAGAGCGAGGTCCTGTTGATAGGCCAGGGCTTCCAGATCTGCCTGATTCACCGGCATGGAGAGCGCCCTCATCTGGTCAAACAAAACACACTGCTGAAGGGATACTTTTCTTGAAAATGTTTGATTTTTATTATAGCAACAACAAAGAACAGAAGTTGCTGCTATGTGCAAGCTTTAGCTTGCCAGGTGAATGAAAGTCCAAGGGAAATTGTTTCGGCATTAACTAGTCCATTAAACTTGAATCAGATTTCTATCATACAGAAAAAAACACCACAATAATTTCAGTAGGCAAACTTTACCACATCGTATGTGGTCAAAAACTGTTTACGGAACTAGAGTCAACAATCAAACAGTGGTTCTTACTTTTGTATCATGAGCTCTAATTGGCTCCTTCAGTAACTATCAACCAATTTCCATTGTTAAAATTACCTGTTGCTGTACAGCAGATCCCGGACTGATAGACCTGTGTACATCAAAGTGTTCTGGCAGCATGGGCTGATGACTAACAGAAAAGCCTTGGATTTGAGGGAGAAAAAAAGAATCACTCTGCTGGTCTGACAGATATTATCTACTGGACCAACACATGTTGGATGGATTAAAGCCCATTGATAGAAAGAGGCTGCAACATGCAATGCACTTACCTCCTGAAGGATGCAGGCGACTGTTGTAG